CCCCTATATATATATATATATATATATATATATATATATATATATAGAGAGAGAGAGAGAGAGAGAGAGAGAGAGGGGTTGGTTATTATACAAATCCTTGACATTTGTGTAACCAATACAACTCAATCTCAACCGTCCATTTCATTTGATTAATATGTGATTTCATAGAAGTTTTGATTGTTTCATAATATAAAGTATTGATAATAATTAATAAACCATATTCATCTTTCATAAATATTCAAATCATAATAAATTAACTGCCATCATTTCCATAAATATCTCAATTTATTGGGTTGCATTGGTTTTACAAATACGATAAGTTGTATTTGAAACAAACACTCTCTCTCTCTCTCTATATATATATATATACTAACAAGTTTCAGCAAGTATATGTGTCAATGCCTATATACTTGCTACATAGTAGATATGCATGTACTCATTGATCGAACACATATTGTACTAATGTATATGCATCAATTAGTATACAATCGTTGGACATAACATTGCGGTTGATGTAGTATAATGTTAAAATGATATCATTTCGTAAATTGCTATGCACGATGTTGGAATCGTATCGGGTGGTTGACAAACAAACAATTATTGATCGAGAAAAGACCTCGTCAAGCTTCCTGAAACTAGTGATTGAATGATCAACAATAGTTATCGAGATAATCAATGATGGTAATTGCAAATGCTCATACAAATTTCTACAGTTGATTTGAAAAGTCTAAGGGGTCATTTACCAAACGCTTATCCAGGTAAGCGCTTACCAAATCACATTACCTTACCGGATGAATATGGTAAGGATCAAGAATCTTACTCGGTAAGAGGAAGACAAGGACCGAGAGTCTTACCCGGTAAGTGAAGGCGACGACTCTTACTATGATAAATGCTTACTGGAAAAATTGTTGCATACAATGTCGTTTTGGTGGACTAAAGTCATACCCAGTAAGTAAGTGATAGTGTCAAATTTTACCGGTAAACATTTACCGGGTAAGTGTTTGGTAAACAGCCCCCTAAGATCCTTACCGTGCCATCTTTGTGTTCTGTAACTCGTAATAACTTCAATACTTGAAGCTCTGGTACTTAATTCTGTTTGAAATATGCCTGTTTGTGCCAAAAGGGTTTGTAGCGGGCCCACTCCGGTCCGATCCCAAGGGCATCATGTGAAAGAGGCAAATCAATAACATAACGGTCTCCTAGTTAACCAACTTAAAAGCCCAATCCCCAAAAGAATTGTAACAAATCCTTGACTGTTTATGCAAGTATATCATTCTGAAACCAACCATACTACGTCCGGGGGAAGATATATTAACTTGTCGTATAAATAAGCAAAACCCCATTTGGAATTCACAATTTTCAGGCAAAATATGCAATTCCTAAAACCCGAATGTGAACCACGAAACATACATAAGCAAAGAAAAGCGAAAACAAGTGGAATACGATATAACGATATGTAAAACAAGCTTATACGATATTGATTCTAGTGCTTGTCTTCTTCTTCACAGAACGTTGAGTATCGTTCGGAGTCCATTAGGGAGTTTACTTCATTAGTGTCGCTTATCTCCACCTTTATAATCCATCCTTTCTCATATGGGCTTCCGTTAACCTGAAATTTTCACAATATTTAAGTAAAACGTCATTAAGGTTATGGCAGCAGCCTCTTTTGCAAGGTGAGAGTGCGTGCAGACAGCAGTAGATAGAAAATGCATCAAGTAGCAAACGAGCAACCGCAAGTGTACATAGAAAATGCATTTTCATAGAGTCATGTATCGAAAATGAGCATTAGACGACTTACCAAGCCAGGTGAACTAGTGAGCTCTTCGTTGACTTCAATAACCTTCCCGGAAACAGGAGAGTTAATATCACTAGTGGCCTTCACACTCTCAACTGCACCAAAACTGCTACCTTGAGTTACAGTGGTTCCAACGTCCGGTAATTCAACATAAACCACGTCTCCTAAGTGGTCCTGGGCATGGTCTGTGATACCGACAGTGGCAGAGTTGCCTTCGACTTTGACCCATTCATGAGAATCAGCATACTTCAAATCCTTAACAACTGAACATATTACCAAAATGAGAAGTGAATATGTGGACGCTCTTGTATCTGTACTCTTCAACACTAGGACACTTGTGAAAGAAGAAAGTGAAAAGATTTAACCAGTTTTCCAAAATTTTGAGGTTCAGTACTCAACCAATACAGCTGAATTTGGAGAAAAATAAAATCCCATTTTGTCATTGTGGCATCAAGGTACGGCAGACTCAAAGCATTAGGGGTGAGCAGCGGAACCGGGTACCCGTTTGCGGAACCGGAACCGCCTTGGAACCGCCGGTTCCGGAACCGGAACCGATATGAGTGGTTCCGGTTCCGGTTCCTAAAATACGGAACCGATTGAGAACGGTTCCGGTTCCGGTTCTCAGTTTTTCGGAACCGTTACCCGCCGGGTACCCGGAACCGGCGGTTGTTTTTCAATAAAAATAATTAATTTTTTTCAATACCAAATTTATATTAGGTTACATCTTCAAATGACGCGATCATCTTCATTCTTCATCTACTTTCTAGTTCTACTAAACTACAATTCGTAATATGTAATCGTTAAGTTTTGAACATTTATAATTAAAGTATATAATCATTAAACTTTGAACATTTTCTATTAGTTTAWTATGATTTGTAATCGTTAAAACAATATTTGTAACCATTATTCCGTATAATTTGTATTCTTGTTTATTTAATTTAGTGTTTTGGCAATATTTTATTTTTATTTCTAAATAACAAAATTTTAAAATTTTAGGAAGCGGGTACCCGGAACCGGAACCGGTCCCGGCGGTTCCGGTTCCGGTTCCAAAAATTCAAGAACCGCTTCAACCGGTTCCGGTTCCGGTTCCAATATCTCAAGAACCGCCGGTTCCGGTTCCGGTTCCGGTTCCTGTCAAAAAGGGCGGGTACCCGCCTATGCTCACCCCTACAAAGCATGACATAAAGTTGAGCAAGATTAACCAAGATTTATGTACGTTAACCAAATCATATTAACAGCGCCATGGCCTAAACAATTAACTCAAAAATTGAACCACACAACATATAAGACAAACTGAATCTACACCATCTGAAAGGAAAAAGAAAAATCTCTCCACAACAAAGTGAAGACAAAATTATATATATTGGAATTGGATTGATCAAGAGAGATGAAACAGCACAGAGAGAAGCAGAGAAGTGCTACTGCAAGACCAAATTTAAAAACACATGGGATAGTTGTGCCTATTTCCCTTTTTTCTCTCTCTTTGCCATTTTAAGACAATGGATGAGCCTTGCAGCAACCGGTAAGGTTTCTCATTTGTGATCAGCAGGTTCAAATCAAGAAAGTGAAAAGACTGCATATTTGCATACAAAGACTTTCCTCCCCAAACCTTGCAAAGATAAGGAGCATGTGTACATGGTCGCACTCTCTACATTTTAAAAAAAATTATGCACCTCGACAAACTAGTGATTATGACGTAAATCCCAACGGGTATCCAAATGAGGTTTGTTGTGGTGTTTGTGTATTTTCGGTAGAGTGGAGTTGCCAATAGATGTTCTATTTTAAACTCGCTATATCTAAAATCCTTTATCACAAGAGGTTGTATCATGTATGATCCGACCAAAGGATTAAGGATATAAAGTAAAACCTAATGATACAAGAAATGGAACTTCCAAAAGAGCAAAATCTGATGATAAGGTTGATTGTGTAGTGAATCGACCACAAGTTATTTGATCATCTGGCCCTAAGAACATATGCACATAGCATCCAGATAAAATTAGAGTCTATGCATGAGAGGAAAGTGACACAGAGTAAAGCTTCTATGTTAAGGATGCAGCAAGAGTTGGTACATGGAGATGATATTCATTCTAGATCACCAAATAAAATGTCCTTTCACTTGAGATGAATGCCTCAATGTTGCACATGGCCAATAGGATGAGTCATTGATGCTGCCCACACTATCATGCAACAGTAAGAAGAGAGTTCTTCGCTACAAAACCAAACTAGAGATTTTGGTATGTAAAAATGGAAAATACATGCTACTCATGCTGGTGTTAGCAGTTCTCAGATAGAGACTAAGGGCCAGATGCTAATTTTTTTTTATGAATAAATGCTAACATGGTAAAGAGGACTGTATGATGCAGACCCTGTCCGGTATAAATGGTCAATGAAAAATTTACTATTTTTTAACATGTTGACTGATAATTATCATTTTAACTTTCAGCTTAAAATATAAGGTCAATGAAATGGGTAGTTAGTAGGTAGTAAGTGTTCTCAATGAAATTATGAATGACAGACCCTTATCAACTTAAATAGATGAAGTATTTAAATTAAAAAATATTTGATATAACATAATGTGAAGGTGGATTCAGAAAGATTCAAAATTGAGGAAGGTAATGATAAACCAAACTATGATGCATGACTGATAAGCGAATAAAATTCTATCAAATCATTACTTGCCTCCTAGATACGTAGAAACTTAAATCCTTGATAAACTTGTTTAATTGGTCAAGAACATGAAGTTTCTTTCCACTTCAGCATGGAGAGGACTGAATTACCAGAACTGATAGATTCAGACCTATGAGGTGGTCCCGTATAAGTAGAGTCCACAATTAATATCACATTGTGATGCATCAGGCAGACTTTGGCTTTATTTGTTGAAGACAAAAGACTAGATTCTCTCACACTTCCAGAAGTCCATACCATGTTGGAAGGGTGCCTTCTCTTATAATGGAAGAAATTGGATTTTGAAGCATGTTATACAACACATGACTAATTGCACGAGAAGAGTCCTTGTAGCCCACAACACAATGTTTGTGTTAGAGGCTGAACCACACCTTTATAGAGAAAAATGCATGCTTAGAATTACAAAGCTGCCAAAGTCACTCTGGGGCAATCAATATCACCTGATTGATAATATCTTTCTTGGTCGCATTTGGTTTTGATAACATGGAGAGTCTTGGAGGGGAAAGATGTTTCCTACTTTCCTTATCCAAATTCCAAACTAACAGAGTTTGGTTGCAAGGCTTTTGCACACATTGCACAAAGATCGGAGATCTAAGCTTGATGACGTATCACTCCGTGCATTTTCACCAACCATGGAAGTGAGTAATTGGCATTCAAATGGTAGAAACTTGAAAGATGAATTTTGAAGCAGAGGAGTGATCTTTCAAGAAGACCGAAGTATGATAAATTTTATTATTGTTGCTTAAAGTCTCAATAAACAGCTTTTCAGTGTGTGACAAATCTAATTTTGATTCTGATTTTTTAGGGCCAAAATAATCAGATGAGATGCATGTAGATTTGCTGCAACAAAACTGATTTCAGGGTAAACGTAAGTAAAACTATCTAACAATCCCTAACTTTATACTTTAGTGCAACTAATATCTCAATTTTGATTATTGAACGTTGCAATAATCACTCTGAAACATGAGAAGCTCACAATCCTCATTCAATTTCTTCCTGATCAGACAATACAACATAAAAGAAAGATGCACATTCACAAGTTATCCACGATAGGGATTTAGATGCAAAGAAGGCAGCCAGTAATGTGAACCTCCACCATCAAACAGAACAAGCACTTAGGAGCTTCACCAGATACCAGAGTGCTTCAAGACATTATTTTTTCTAAATTCTGGAACCCTAGAGTTGAACCATATATTGTCTAGTTCTCTATGAAAACCGATTTAGACACACCCTTAAGCACTTCATAATAGAACAATGCAATTGAAGTTAAGGAAGGAAGGTCGATCTGTTATTCTATATCTGACGGATTTTGAAATCCAGATTGACGGCCACCAAATTTTCAGATTTTATTTATAAACGTAATTCTCACATACTCCAGTACAAAACCAACAAAACGAATTGTTATAGAGCATCTATATCACCTTCTACGATCCACGATAATTTCCAGAGAATAACAGTAGAACGAATCTCAAAAACCTCTAAAACCTCAGACGGATCATTCTATAAAAAGAATACTAAAAATCCATATAAGATCAGATCTTCAGTGTAACGAAAGCAGAGATCAAACTTCCGAACGAATGAAACCAAAAACAATAAAGGTGACGAAGGTGGAATGATTACCAGAAGCAAAACCTCTGTTGAAAGTAGAGATCTTGAGGTATGAAGCAGCTTTTGATGCCCAGAGTCTTGATGCCATCGCCTCTTTTTCGTTTTCAGAGAATGATTCGCCGACCAACAAACTCCTTGCCTTGCCTCTCTTTATACTAATAAAACACAAAGGCGTTCGGCGTTGGGTGTGCAATCACCGACCAGGGTTGTTGCCGAGGATAAAATCGTCTTTTAAGAAGCTCCAACAAACACAAAATCTTCCAAGAAAAAAGAGGAGTAAATTATGGATTTGTGCCTATCGTTATACAAAAATTATGGATTGCATTATTTGATAAAAAAAAATTAAAAATCATTTTTATGTATAAAGTACTGTTTTTTAACGTATATTATTTAAATTATAAGTAAATTATGTGTACATACAACTTATTAAAGCTCCATTTTTTAATTCATATAATTAATCGTAGATAAACATAATCAAATATATGATAAACATCTCATTTTAAATATTAAAAATCTAAAATATAATTAGGATAATCATTGAGTTCAAACATAATCATTATCTTTATAAAAATTATATCGTTAACCCAAAAATAAATTATTTCATTATTAGATCTAAATTAAATTATAATAAAAATTTGAATTAAGAATATTGTACAAAAAAAAACTTTTAAATAGTTAATTTGATATTAATATCAATATATATTTTTAAAAATTTTATGACATCTTCGAATTTATTTGTATTCAAAAGTAACAACATTATCTTTATCAAAACCACATAAACCATATTATATATCAACAGAGACAAAAGATAATACGAAACATTAAAATGAAGATGTATATCGCTATATTGCGTGAGTGCCCTTCTAGTAGTCATTAAGGGAACTCGTGCAATGCAGCAAGATACATCTTAGTTTTAATATTTTCTTTCTCTATCTCAGTCGATGTTATAATTGGTCTTATGTGTTTTAAAAAAAACGATAATGTTTTTATTTTTGAATAAACTATAAATTTGAAAATATCATGAAAAGACAAAAAAAAATATCGATATTAGTATCAAATTAACTATTTAAATTTTTTCATTTTTTTGTGTTTTTCAATTCAATTTTTTATTCTAATTTAATTTAAATTCAATAACGAAGTAATTTATATTTGATTAATAAAATATTTTTTATAACAATAATAATTAATTATTTTATTAAGACTTAATAATTATCCTAATTATATTTTAGATTTTTTATATTATAAAATAAGATGTTTATTATCTATTTGATTATGTTTATCTGCCGTTAGTTATACGAATTCAAACATGGAGCTTTAATAAGTTGTACTTACCCACAATTTACTTGTAATCTTGATTTTTAAGTAATATGCATGAATAAACGGTACTTCATGCATAAAAAATGGGTTTTAAGAGTTCTTGTCAGATGCTTTATAATATAACTAGAAGGGTACTCGTGCAATACATCAAAATATATCTCGATTTTAATGTTTCGTTTACTCCGTCTCTGTCAGATGCTTTAATATCGTTTTTTTTATTATAATTGAATTTAGATTTAATGACGAAGTAATTTATTTTTGATTTAATTATATAATATTTTTTATAAGGATAATAATTAAGTATTTTGTTAGAATAAATGATTATTCTAATTATATTTTAGATTTCTTATATTTAAAATGAAATGTTTATCTTGTATTTGATTATGTTTATCTACAGTAGGTTGTTGTTTATCTTATAGTATTGTAGTTAGTAGGTTGTTGTTTATCTTCTTATCCATTGTGGTTGTAAACGCTATATTATCTCTCCATTTCGGGTGATTTTATATTCATTAGGCTCAATCACTATATCAATTAGACTGATACAATCTAAAATCGTCAGAACAAAACAGAATAAGATCATAAAGAACAAACTGAACGAATCAGGTAAGAGATTAAGATAATTGATTGAAAGCAAATACTGATCGTATCAAATGTATACGGAATTAAAACCTGGAAATAGAAAAAAGAACCTGATCATGAGATTTTTGGGAGGTAACCAAAAACCCTCTTTAATCAGACGTAAACTTCATCTGTATTCGATTAACAAAAAATTGATATGAGTATTATTGAACCGTTAAATTCATTTTCAAAATTTTAAAGCTATATTATTGAACCGTTAAACGCAATTGATTGACGTAAACTTTTTTTCCAACTTTTTCAAAAAAAAAAAAATTAATTTTAGAAGTAGATATTTATTTAACATGTATCCGTCACAAATGAAAAATTTGCAGCCCTTCTTGTGACGGTTCATGCATGTTGAACATATTTCATCTTGATGGATCCCCCAAAAGATATATAACTGCAAAATAAACTGTCAAAAAATCACCGTACAAACTTCTAGTAATAAAAATGGATCACATTGCTTTCGTCCCATTTTATGTAATTATTTCTTTCAATCTCGGCTTACGCTAATGGACTAATGTAATAACCACCCTAAATTAATATTTATCTCCACGTACAATGGTCATATCCTGTTGGATTTGTACTTGCAACTAGAACGATTTACATTTGATGTTAAGAATAAGTAGAACTCTATTAGATTGTTCTCAAAAAGAATTCTTGAGGAGAAAGGAGGATCTAACATATATAGAGGTGAAGTCGTCCAACTTTATTACGCCCCCTCCAATGGAGACTAGACGAGTATAGATTGTCGAGACGGAACTAGACTGGTGAAAGTGCTACCAAAGCATTTACAAATATAGTATGTAATCGTTAAACTTTCAACATTTACTATTAGTCTATTATAATTTGTAATCGTTAAACAATATTTGTAACCATTATTCCGTATAATTTATATACTTGTTTATTTATTTAGTGTTTTAGCAATGTATTTTTAATTTCTAAATAACAAAATTTTAATAGGGAAATAGTTCCGGTTCCAAAAATTCAAGAACCACTCTAACCGATTCCAATATCTCAAAAACTATCGGTTCTAAGTCCTATCAAATGAGGTAGATACCCACCTATGCTCACTCTTAATCCAAGTGCTAATTTAAATCAACCTTGAATTAGGTTTCAAAATTTTAAACTAAGGTCTTAATGCAGAGGCTGCGCGAACGCATGCCTCCACTACCACAAATTATGATGTAGGTTCGACCACTTGGGCCGACCTTAGGATAGCACCCCTCCTAAGTGCAATGGAGATCACTAACCTAGGCCATGGGCCATTTTGATCATCCATTGACCCCATCCAGGTAAGTACTTTTTCTCATTTCCCTCTTTCCTTTTTTATTGTTACTCCTCCTTTTTCCTTTTAACTTTCTCTACCGATGTGGGTTACATTAGAATATGTTCATTTTCCTTTCTACGCATTTGCTTTTTCTTTTTATTTTTATTTTTAATAAACAAATCAACGTTACTATATGGATGTAATCTATATTATATTATAAATTTTTTGATAAAAACTCTTAAAAACCGTTTTTTATGTATGAAGTGTTGTATATTAATGGATATTACTTAAATTCAAGATTACAAGTAAATTGTTCGTAATTACAACTTTTTTTTAGATAGACCAGAGTCACCGTATTTGAACCTTCGTGACCACAAGAGAATTTTTATTTCTTCTTGGATTTAAACCTGAAATCTCTTGGTATTTTTGAATTTGAAAGCAAGCTCAAACCAATCAAGCACCACCCTTATGATTTTAAACTCCAATATTGTTAATTAGTATATTAAACTTTGCAAATTTGTAAATGGTTTTTAATTTTTAAAAATGCTTTAAATAAAATAAGATAAAAATATTATTTTCTACAATTAATATCATCTTGTTTTTAAAGTCAAAATCTTTACAAAAATCACATCCAACTCCAAAAACCATTATATTTCAATAATTCTAACATTAATTATCTATCTGTATCTATATTATTTTATAAAGGATGATTCTATTTAAACAACTCTCTAATTACTAATTAGACACATCTCCTTTTATATGTAATAATTACTTAATCATTATTAATTATTTTTTATTTAATTTACTTGTAATCATTGTTCAATAATTTTTATATTTTATATTTTCTCAAAATAGGTATTATATATTATTATTATCACTACCATTAACTTTTTTTTATTAGTAATAAATATATTATTATTAAAACTATCCTTTTTAATTGTTATTATTAAAATTAGACCCTTTATCTTTACAAAATACTACAAATTCAATTACAAATTCAACTATTCAAATTTTAAAATATAAGTTGTTAGTAATAAACAAATTAACAGTTTCAATGATTCAATTAATTTTCATATTTAAAAATTTAAATAATAAAGTAAACAAATTACTAGCAAATCAACATATTTTAAATTAATCAAAATTGCTTAAAAACACGTTATAGTTAATATAAAATCAAACGTTACAAATTTGACCATAAATGTTCAATCATCTAGAACAACATAGTCTACTGTACCCTTGGATTCTTGATAATTGGCGTATCGTTTTATTCGAGCCTGATATGGGGTTGCCTATCCAATTACACATGGATACCTCCAACGTAACCATTGTGAAGAAATATGCAACCCTGAATGCCTCGATTACCCAAAAGAATAATAGTTATATGATAGGATCATGATATGGCTATAAATGTAACCATCTGAGTTAATCAGGAAACGGCATAGGACTCCAACTCGTGTTAAGTAATGTATGAACCACTACATACAGATACTTCTGTTTTATTGGGTCTAACTGGCTAAGCTTCGAAATATAATGGCTCACAGATATCCAATTTACACCAAAGGCCCAAGTGAAGTCCTCTTGAAAATCAAACGTGGTGGTTCAAAAGAGTGTTGCAAGCATATTGACAGAAATGCAAGACCATGGGTACACAAACACTACTAATATAGGAATGGAAGAATTGGTCCAACAAACGGAAATGACAAGTGACCCTGTGGAGAGTTGGATAACCTAAAATGTTCATATAAAATCCAACCAAATCAAACAAGCGCTGTATGTCCCAACTACAGGTGGTTTCGGGGATGCATGCAGACCTCATCTCTACCCAAATAGTAGAGCGGTTGTTTCCGTGAAAGATCCCGTCTTGTGCAAAGTCTGCAAAAAGAAGGATAAAACTTGCTCAAAAAATTGTGGAGAAATAATATAAGAACTTGAAACTATGAAACTTGATACTAAAGAAGGCAGTGCTAAAATTTGGAAATGAGTTAGAAGAAAACAACATTCAAACAAAGAAACAACAAACAAGAGCAGGTAGAAGAAAACATAACCAATGAATGAATAACTACACATCCCAAGTGTAACCTAAGACTCGGGAGATCTAAATTCCGGCTCACCAACCCTAACCCCATCCTTCCGTCTAGGCTTGCTACATTTTCCCACCCCTAGTCTGCTACCCTTATCTTGCATCTCCAAGATCTCCTAATTAAGTAACCGGAATGTAGATCCCTTCCTCCCATCTAGACTATGTCTAAGAGCCCCTGGTCTAACCTAAAATGGTCATATATCGTAGCCATATCAAGTAACCTGACACTAATTGGTAGGTACTTCTTTAAGCAATTCAGCACATAAACTATTAAGTGGCTTTTCTAACTCATTAGCGAGCAACATGAAGCACACGGATGACAATGATTTCAAGAGACAAAATGCTTCATTTGATCAAGATTTACAAATTCAGAAGAAGACCTGATTGTGTACTATTCAAGAGACAAAATGCTTCATTTAATCAAGATTAACAAATTCAGAAGAAAACCTGATTGTGTAACTTGTAATAGTACGGAAAATGCTGTAATAAATCATTGCATCAAAAGAAAGATTTATGTAATTCACCTTTTAAGGATCAGCAGGAAGTGCTATTGCCTCTCTCGGAATGACAACCGGGAAATATGTGAAAGCAGAAACTCCAAGCCTCTTTGGGGAGCTGTTTTTGGTGTCAAATTCGCTTCATTTCCCTCCATCTGAATATCCGGATCACGCCAAAATTTAATTACATGGAGAGTTTCTTCTTCTGTTGATCTTTGGACAACAATTTTTGCACCGTAACCTTTGTCTCTCATTTGAAGACAAATCTGTAAGGGATCATTTTCTGCAAGAAAGAGCATATACAACCAGCCCTTATCCGACAACAGGTTGTCAGCAACTGGTAAAATCTTATCAATAACATTCCGACCATTTTCTCCTCCAGCCCAAGCAGAGGAGAGCCCAAGACTACCTACTTCTTCATCAGGTGTTGGCACATAAGGTGGGTTAACCACCATCACATCCACCAATCCTGACAATCGCTTTTCAAGCCCCGATGCAATATTTGTGGTTACTAACTCTGCATGAACCCCGTGAGCTTCAAGTGTCTCACGAGTCACCGTTGCAGCATAAGGATTGACATCAGTTGCAAAATAATAGGCATTCCTTGCTTCAGATCCAAGTATAAGAGCAAGACTAGTAATGACGTAGCCACTACCACAGCCAACTTCCATACAAATTGTTGGGTGGTGCTCTAACAATTTCGTCCTGTCAGCCAGCAGTGCATCAACCAAGGCATATGAATCATCGCAAGGTTCATAAACTTGAGGATGTGAACTGACAAGTCGGATTTGTGCAATCCTGGGAGGCATCTTTTCTGGAAATTCTGAAGTAAACAACAAAAAAGATAAAACAGCTAAAATAACCATATTCCATAGAAGACTGGAACCAAACGATGACGACCTTATAAAATAAGACAGTCCCATTCTATAGCTTATCAATACATTAATTTCTTAAAGTATCCTTAGATGCAGTGTATTGTAGCAACCATTTGAAGAACTAAAATGTCAATGCCATATTAACCAACAACCATCAGAAATATGAATGTAGACAGTCCATGATATAACTTAGCAACACGACTAACAGAAGAGGTATGACTAACTTCGATTGCATCATCACCGCCATTTTCCATCTAAAAGACATTAGCAGTTCTTGTCCACTTAACCCCCTTACTCCTCCTTTCACCAAAGTCACATTGCATATGTGCAACGAAACACAAAGTTACCAGATTCTTAAGCCTACCTACATTTTCTCAAGAGCAAACAATTGACACATCCTGTTGTAAGAAAACATACCTTGGGTAAAAATCTCATCCTGTACACACATATGAATTCAAGTTCAACTCATCAACATGCAAAAAAAAAAAAAATAACACCCTCACCATGCAAAACTAAATGCAACAATTTCCTTTCTAAGATGTCCCATAAGAAGACAATTTCCTTACAGCCATGCTTTCTAAATCTTTTTCTAAATATTTTTTGCAGGCCAGAGGTCTTCTTGGAAATGGTCTCTCAAGAGTCAAGAGGCATAAGAAAGTTTGCGTACATCTTACCCTCCAAACAGGGGTTCTAGGTGGGATATGTAATATATTGGGTTGGTTTGGTATTTGATCCAGCATTACCTAATATTGCATGATAAACGTTACAAAATATTGGTATGATTAGATTTTTATCCACAAGATTCCCCGGTCTTTGTCATCATTGAAAGTATGTCAGATGTTTCCCTAATACTCAAAAAGTTCAGGCTAACTATATGCAGTCATATATTGCATATTAGATATAAAATCTGAACTAGTAAAGAGGTTTGCTTATTGTATGAGATAGATGTAAATGCATGAATATGCTAGCTTACTGAATTGAGAGTGTCACGTACACGATTTGGTTGCTTCAATGGAATTCTAGAATCTCATAGAACATTCCTGATTTGTGACACTTATGACATAAACCTAACTATTCTTGATTTTGCTGCATTTTGGCTGGTATTCTTATGAACGTCGGTGATTTTGCAATCAACTATCTGTTCTTGATTAACAAAACGGGCGAATTTAAGTACAGCTCAACTACGATTGAATTAAAAACAATCAATCACAAAAATGCATACTACAACAGTCTAATTCCATCGAATGCCAAGATCGATACAAAGCAGTTCCCAGTGTTTTCAGAATGATAAAACATGAAGATTTATAATCATGCAGAACGCAGCAATTGAATCGAATGCCTACTACACCAAGAAACACCTCATAGTGAATTTACAACAATAAAGAAAACCATCAAAAATTGCATCAATCAAACATTAGACCTCGAAGAAAAGAAATGGTAATAACCGTTCTTACGAAATTGGAAAATAAAACTTCAAACGCGTAACGTAGGTTTTACATAGGATGAAACTGCTGGAAGACCTCTGCCGGAAATTACCCTCGTCCGGTTGCCGGCAACCAAAAACTTCCGCTCGAGAAAGGAAACAGCGCAAATAAAATCGTTGGATAAAAGACACAGGGACGAAAAAGTAAAAAAGAAAGGCAAAAATGCATTCAACTCGGTAGCGCTGGAACACCTTTCTATTATGTATGTTGATATTTGACTAGGTTTTTATAAAACTAAGAATGTAACTTAATAATGTAATTAGATACATCTTCGTTTTAATGTTTTGTTTTATATTTTATGTTTATTATCGATGTTATAATGTAATTTTATGTGGTTTTGAGAAAAATAAAATGTTTTTTATTTTTTAATAAAATATAAATTTGAAGATATTATAAAATATTTTAAAAAAATAAGCGATATTAGTATTAAATTAACTATTTAAAAGTTCTTTTTTTATTCAATTTTTTATTATAATTTAATTGAAGTTTAATAACAAACTAATTTATTCTTGATTTAATAAAATAATTTTTTATGATAATTAAGTATTATGTTAGAATTCAATGATTATCTTAATTATATTTTAAATTTTGTATATTAAAAATGATGTTTATCATGTATTTGTTTTTAAGAGTTTTTGTCAAATTCAACTTGTAATCTTGAATTTTTAAGTAATATGCATCGATAAATAATACTTCATCCATAAAAATTGTTTTTAAGAGTTTTTGTCAAATGTTTTATAATATAGTATAGATATGTTTTAGAAAAACAACAAATTTATGTTATAAATTCGAGAAATCATCCAAAATAACTGATCTTCTAACTCTATTTTAATGCAATCACCAAAATAGTTGGATTTTACGCAAAATTCTAACATGAGGATTAATAGCTGAAACGTAGCACTTAAACCATCCACATAGAGCACGGAGACAAACACATGTAGGAAAAATGAATCGTATATCGGCTTTTTGTATGTGAAGAACTTACTTGTATGATCATCTCCGAAGGATCCCAGCTTAACATTTCATGTGCGCATACTGTAAACTTGGGTTATAGTCGCTATACCCTTTAGGGAAAATTTATAGACTCCACTATCAGATGAGATATATTGGATTGATTTGATTTGATTTAGACTGTAAACTTAGGGTAAAGAGCGTTGTGCGAGTTTATGGTCCCGCCAAAGCAATGCAACATTTTCTGCAGTTTAATTTTAGTAAAAGAGAAATCTTCAAACGGATTTCTTCATGACTTACAAATTTTATTGGAGTCTCTTTTTCCCTTGAAAATAAGTGAATGTTGGCATATTGAAGCAATTGTTTTTCGGTCTATGAATTAACTGATTGCATAATTCGAGTTTTAATCTTAATACTTTTGAATTGTTGTAAATTAGTGTTCTCTTGGTTTATGTTTATGCCATTTATTTGTACTTATATCATCACATCAACAAACTTATCCACCTACCACACCATAACAATCCTATTACAACGCCCCGTATTGATGCCTTCAATCAACAAAATATATACATAATTAACATGGAATAAACTCTTAACCATTCAATATAATTTATTGACATTAATTTGGGCGTTAGATCACTTCACATAGATAATGAAAGCTAAAAAAATACATTAAACAAGAAAATAGAAACAACACTAAAACACTTATATATATAGACTAAATCTGATATAAATCATAGATAGTGATAGCTAGCTTTGGTATCAAGGAGAGAACTCAGATAAAACATAAACAAACAAGATAGCAAATAATGTATGATCGTAATATTATAATTAAATTAACAGAGTAATACATTTTTTTGGACCTCATTATCAACTAAAGTTTCTTGGGTTATTTCTGTCAACTTGTACTAATTCACACATTGGCTCCCCTCAGGGATGGCCCTGAGCCTCGTTAAACCAAAGATAGATTTTATTATGCGGTCTTTCATCCCGAATTACTTGTTACATTGTTTCAATATCTTCCCCTATGTATATTTGCTCTTCACTGTTCTCGAGATTTTCATACCTTTTTTGGTCCAAGTCATGTCACCGCATTTGGATCGCATATAATGGAATAAATACTAAACTTTGCAATTTTTCGCTTCTTTTTTTATACTAGAAGGGTACTCGAGTAATGCACCGAGATACATCTTGATTTTAATGTTTCGTTTTATATTTTAAGTCTATCGATGTTATAATGTAAATTTATGTGGTTTTAAGTATCATAAAATTTTGAAAAAAAATAAGCGATTTAGGGTCAAATTAACTATTTAAAAATTCTCGTTTTTGTGTACTTTATTTAATTCAAATTTTTATTATAATTTAATTAAAATTTAGTAACGAAGTAATTTATTTTTGACTTAATAAAATAATTTTTTAAAAATAATAATTAAGTATTCCGTTAGAATTCGATAATTATCTTAATTGTATTTTAGAATTTTTTTAATTTAAAATGATGTTTTTCATGTATTTGATTACGTCACAAAATTCAAACATGAAACTTTAATAAGATGTATTCATGCACATTATACTTGTAATCTTAAATTTTAGGTAATAAACATTAATAAATAGTACTTTACGCATAAAAATTTGTTTTTAAGAGTCTTTGTTAAATATGATATAGATAATACACAACTCGATAATTACCTTTCATGTCAACACACAGTCCATTAGTGATTGTAATATTTGTCAATGTCGCTTCGTCTGTTTGGGAAGAGGAGAGCATTATGCTCCTTTTCTCAACACACAGATCCGGTGACAGAATAATCGAAACCTTGGGAATTCACTTATGATTCGAGCTTTTCATCTTGTTCTTGATCCGATTATTTCATAATTCTCACTTTCACCTAGTATTTTTTGGCATTTAGTTATCATCAACTTAAAAAGTAAATAGCAATTTATCAAACAGTGTTTACTTCATATCCTATCCAAGGGGTAAAATGGTCAATTCTATTATTCAAAAAGAGTGTATTAAGATGATGAAATTTATAGAGTATTATAATAACTGATTCCTGCTTAAATCTTTAAGACAAAGTATAAAGAAGAAATATGTCTCATTTATGTAAACTTCAATTCTCAGTTCGACTCCAAAAAAGAAAATTTTCTTGAATATCTTCAAAAAAAAAAATATTGACATTTTCTGGTACACAAAGAGTTTCAAATAAGTGTTCCCTTTTGCGTCTCAAAAAAACCACCATTTTCTTATATGCATCTATCTATATGCAAACCTTGAGTTCCGGACTAGAAGATCACCACTCGATCCAACCACATGTCGTTCGATCGCCTTTTGGTGAACCTACTCGGGTCATGCCATCAACATCACGTTTCTCTTGCGATTGCTCTCTCCCGTTCCCATCCGACACTTGACCATTTTCTGCATTTCCATCTCCGACGACTTCTGAACTTGCTTCACCTTCAAYAACATCTTTTTGGCATCCGGTAGACACTCGTGTAGATTTGATGGATACCTCAACCTTCTCCAAGCTTTCAATTGCTTCTGTTGGATTGCTGTCATCTTTCAAAGGTTGATTTTCGTTACAAGTTGGCAGTGAGTTTTTAGCATCACGAGTTGACTCATTTCTAACAAAATTGGGCCGAACCAGTCTCCTACGCTTGCAAGGCATACACATCGAAGAGTTGGTCTCCACAGACCCGACATCTGGTTCAGAGACTCTGTTTCCGGCGGATCTCTCCGACTCTATTGGCCCAGCAGTGTTTTCTTCGGATTTATCATCAAGATTCTTGTTTGCTTTCTTGCGACGCTTGAAATCCACGAGCCTAGTCTCGTGCAGTATTGATTCAGATCCTCCTTCGATTGTTTCATCAGCTAAATCAGCATCAGGCTCCATCATCGTCTTTGAAAGCTCATAATCTACAATCTTACTGGCCATTACATCATCATGATGATGCTTAAAAGCCGATATGCTTTTTCCAGTCCTCTTTATCGGGCCACTCACGACCTTCTCCAACATTTCCATCACATTGTTAACCAATGAATCCTGGTCCTCGTGTTCACCAGAGTCAAATTCTTGTTCATGGCTGACTGCTTCTGGGGCCAAACTTAAGCGTGCAAAAACACTTACTCTCTTGTCAGCACCATCAAGATGCTTATCTTCATGCGGTTGGCGGGATATTTTATGGTGACGAATTGGGTCATTTTCGCGTGAACATAAACCAGCATCAGACAAAGAAATCATTTTGGAAGCAGGCGATGATTCACTAACCTTATGAATGTACTTGCTTCTAGGTTCTCCAAGGTAGCTGCTATCATATCCAGATAACAAGCTCATGCGAGAACTGAAACCATGCGACCTATGGCTCTTAATGACGTTCTCAGCAGTTTCAGATTGCGACAAAGACAGAGAAGCACGCTCAGAAAAAAAGGAGCCTTCAAAAGCATCATTTTTAAATACCCGGTTTTCGTCAACTAATTGGGTGCCTCTTGCTTCATGGCAAGAGACTTTATCGTGGTTTTTGCTCAACAATGCATCCTTAGAACTAGGGTAAAAAGGACAATTATCGACAAGACTAGAACTACGACCAGCAGAAGGTCTAAGCCGAATATCAGGAGCTTCAGAATCATACAGGGTAGGCATTGTAATCATTCTAGTATCACAACATGTAGATAAAGGAAGACCGCAATCATAAGTTTTTCCAATATTACTGAATTCAGAAGGATGTCGAAGTTGCTCTGATATGGAAGAATCTTGAGCTTCAGAAATAGGATTACCAGAAGAATTCATAGCACTTTGCTTACAGTGAGAAAAAGCAATATAATTAGTTGAGACGACTCCCCTAATAGAATTGTTAGTAGGGGAAACATCCCCAAAGCCAAAATCTTTATAATCATACCGAGGTTTTATCCCAGCAGCACCTGGTCTAAGCAGTGGGTGTTCAGTCAATGTTCTTGACCTGAAGGTTGAGCCTTCATCATAATTAGGTTTTGTCCAAACCCCAGTTGTCCCTTGTTGATTCAATGTTCCTTGTTCACTTTCATAACCAATAAACCTTCCATCATTAATAGTTTGCCAGAAATCATTTATAACATGGTATTCATTTGGTATCCTATTATCATCCTCAAACTCTTTGCTTTTACTAGTAATATCATCCATCAGAAACTTCGCATCACTGCTTGCTGCACCTATTTTACCTAAATGCTTTACATGGGGTTTGTTGAAAATATGCCTATCATCTTCAATATCATGTTCAACTTTTATTTTCTCCATCATAAAAAACCTATCCTCGTTAGTTATTCCTCTTATTTCCGCAAGATTATTGTGCCCATCATTTACATCATGTGACCCTGCATCAGCCACCCTTCTTAATCCCCCTAACGCATGATCAAGGTGACTCCCCAATATGGCCTGCCTAGTACTATGATCACCAAAATCATCACTTTGTGTAATATAATTTGTTAAAAACCTGTCTCCGTTATCTTCCTGAAATCTTCCCACGGTAACGGTCCTATTTCTCTGCCCTCTGCCGCAATTGAAATTGTTGTGTTCTTCCACAAAATTTGCATTCAAATACAAATGATCCTCTACTTCTTTAACTTCATCACCCAAATACTCACAGATGTCAAGACCATGCCTATCCTCTTTGCTAATGAATCCTAACCTATCTCTAAACAGATTCATCCTATGATCATCAAATCTTCCATCTCCCACAGCTGGCTTATCACCATGTCTCCAGATATTTCTCTCAGGGTGATTTTTAGGTATTCTTTTGGCATGAAATAACATCATAAGTTTATATACCTGAAATTTTCAGAAACAGGAGGATAAACAACAAATAGTAACATTTTAAGAATATATCCAAGTAAAACAACATCAATATATAAGCATAAAGATACCTGATCCTCGGACAAACCAAAGTTGAACTTCTTCCCAGAGAAGTAATTATCTCTAATAGCATACCGGAATTCACTTTCATCGAGTGGGTTACAAGTCCAAACAGAGGTAAAACGAACCTGCATAATAGATCAAATCGAATGAAAGTAAAAATAAGAAATATAATTCATAATTGATATGGCCTCGGCAATGCTTATAGGGTTGCATGACCTAAAGGCAGGTTTCCCTTAGTCCTTATTGATAGAAAAATATTTACATATTATACGACATGCGGCATTCAAATTGTCTGAATGAACCCTCGTAGCTTTATTGACCTAAATAATTTATACTTTAAACAAAAAAGGTCAAACTATAATAGAAAAAGCAAGTAGAAGATCCAACTATTCACAATATTCTCCCTTTTATTGTCACAAAATAGGGGTGAAGAAACCTTCTACTTCGCCATTCTTTTCTTTAGCATCACAAGTATGGCTGTAGCCTAAAAGCATACCTGGATTAGGTACCCAGACTCTCTACCACAGGCCTTGATTTTCATACAAAAAAGAAGGAAACAAATGTGCAAAAGGGTCCGTTGCCTTTACAATGGTCGAAGAGTAACCATTTTGTTCCCAACCTTTCCACAAAGTGGTAAATTTATCCATTGCTTAAAATCCTCCTACTTAAACTATGCATGCAATACCCATGAGATAACCAATTAGCAACCCTGCCTTCTTAACATATAAATTATGGAGTCAACCATGAACTTCAGCCTTTTTAGCCATATAGAAACACATACCTGTGCGGGAAAGTGCCTTCCTGATGATTTGAATGCATTGGGCAGAATATTGATTTCACCATCAGAGGTAGCACGAAATACACCATATAATTGTCTCCTCTCAAACTCAAAAAGGAATAGTATCATTCCTTTTTTCACATGCAACACAAAGTCGGACATAGCTGATGGTAGTCCAAACAATTTATGTCGGAAGCACATTTTCTTCATTCCAATATTTGATGTAAATATCGCACCAGAGTGAGGAACCCATCCCGGAACAATGTTATCTTTATACCCCATCCCCTCTGCAAGCTGCAAAGATATCCAAAAATGGAAACACCACAGCACGTCAAGCTTTTAGAGTTGTTGTGCAGGAAGGTTAAAAAAGGCTCCATAAAAACCAAGGACTAATAGATATACGAATACGTATGCATAAATATGTATCTATATATAGGTGCAACAGAAGTATTTATACCATCAATGCAATAGTAAATTTTGTGCACATGCAAGTGTGAACTATTTTTAATTTTTGAGTCTGCACTGACTCATTGAGTTCTACCTGCATGATATGAGCCACGGATTCCTTGACATACTCTATTAGTCCCTCTCATGATATTTGTAATCAATTACTGTTCTAAGGTAAAATTCTAGCTGTCACCGGGAGACACGGTTTCTATCTTGGCCAACAGTTTTTTGTTTTACATTCTATCTTGGCCAACAGTTTTTTGTTCTGATGCTCTGATTTTGATTATTCAGATCGAAAATCACTTTGAAAACACAAATCCAAACATCCTCGTAGTCATGCAAATGATCCACTGGTTTACATATTTTGTACAAGTTTTCAAGACATTTGAGGAGTGTAGGATGTATCGATTCGAAATGACATTTTGACATCAAGAAACATAATTAGATAAGTTCATATTATTCTTAATGTTTTTGACCAAGATAGTATTAGTCAGAAGATCAAAAACAGAAATAAGTTTTCATCAAACCATCTAAACTGTTCAAGTGGCAATAATCATCTCAGATGCACATCCAATGAAAACCCTTCGTACGTAAATGTTATCAAATAGCAGATAAACTTCCTTTTTTGGGACCTAGGGAGCAATAAACAACTTCCAAAGCAAATAAGCGACCATTGGTTACAAAAATAAGAGACGGTTACCAGGGGGAAAATATGCAGAGTGAAAAGGGAGAAAATCAGTTCAGTATCATAAAAACCTACTAGAGACCGATTCAAAACCATAAATCAGGCAAAATCCACACAATGATCATGGCGTATATATTGCAAATACCAATCAGTAATCCAAGAGACGGCAAAATCAACAAAAACAAGAACAATGCGTCAAGAACAGACCACCATGCAGATTGAAACCAAAAAAACACTGATAGCGATCTTCAATCAGAATCGGAATACACTGTATAAATAATAACCGACGATTGAATCAACAAATAAAGAAGATTAGGGTTTTCACCGATGAAAATTCTGAGACGCTGCCAGAAGTTGTGTGTGAGGGAGTTTACCAAATTATGGAAACCGTATCGTCGGCAAACTTTTTATATACGTGATGTGGAGAGCGATGACGTGCAACGATTGGATCACAATCATGGGCTGTTGACGGGGAAATCGGGACCCGATGTCATGTAACAAATAATTAATTACATGAATGGTCCTTTATCTATTATATAATTCCATTCTTGTCCCTAGACAAATATATATATATATTATATTATAAAATATTTGACAAAAACTTTTAAAACCAATTTTTATGCATCAAATATTGTTTATCGATGCACATTACTTAAAATTCAAGATCATAAGTAAATTGTACACAAGTACAACTTATTAAAGCTTCATATAAATATCAATTTTAGTTTCTTTAATTCTTACATTTTTAGTTTTATATTTATGTCATTTACTTTCCAGCAACTTAATTTCTGCAATTTACATTAAATCGGTTGGGTTTTCAAGCAATATACTTTCAGCCCTTTACATATCTATAACACTCTCTTGCTTGTACACCAAGTTTCATTTATCGTCCTTAGTTTACGCAATTTACTTTAAGTACTTTTTATTTACATTTTAGTCCTTACATCTTTCGTAAGAAGAATCTAATAAACGATGGGATAATCACCTTAACCTGGATGTAAGGGAAAATTAAGACCGAAATCAATGTAAAAATAGAGACGTGCTTCCAATATAGCATTTTCCTCTAACCGTTCATCCTGATTAATAGTGTTTCATTGATTATTGCATATAATTTATTGACAACTAATTATATGTATGAAAATGTGTTAGCTTTCAGAGCTACGATAAATATGAAACCTTGTTTTGGTATGAAAAGATTATAAAGAGTTTTAGTACCTGAAAAATGCTATATCCATACGGTATATGAATGTAATATTGTGTCGTACTACGATTCACGAATTTAAAGTAAATGATATTGTATCGATAGTAGTGGGTTCAATAAGATACCAAAGTGGATGATTGACTCATTCCATACTAGAAATAATCGCAGGAAATCCTTTGATAACACAGATTCCTATTTCTCAATGATATTCCACGATCAATACAATTGGTTGAATCCCGTGAAATCATTTCATAGAAGTTCATTGAGATCATCTTTTTATAAAGCAAATCAACTTAGATTCTTGAATAATCCACACCACTTCTGCTTCTATTGTAACAAAAGATTCCCCTTTTATGTGGAAAAGACCCGTATCAATAATTATGATTTTACGTATGGACAATTCCTCAATATCTTGTTCATTCGCAACAAAATATTTTCTTTGTGCGTCGGTAAAAAAAACATGCTTCAAGGTTTAACCCCTTGACCTCCGGGAAGGCTAAGATTTACAATAACCCGGAAGGCTATTGATACTATTGGGTCGATGACCATTGTTGGTGATTTTAGTTTGATCGCCTATTTAAGTGTAATTGGAATTAACACGAGTGCCAATGGGTTTCAAATTGTGATCGAATACAAGTTAGGTGGTGCAGAGTGCACACTTGTATATAAGACGAGTTTGATTTCAGATACGACAAAATGGCGAGGTCAAGGGTCAGCGCCCCTAGAAAACTTTCCGGATCTAAGTTCCAAAAGACTTAGAAATTTCACTAGGTCTTGTGTGTTTCAGCTTTCATAGGCCGTCGCTGAAGGATTGTATAACACTGTCACAGAAAGCCTTCAACTGTTGCTAAAGGCCTATCAGCTATCATTGAAGATGCATCAGCTATCACTGAACAGCTTTCAGCTACCGCTGAAAAGGGTTTCAGCTTTAAATTAGCTCATAGCTGAAGGATGTCGCTGAAACTTGGTGAAACTATATAAAAGTATCTATTCGAACTAAGGACGTTCCAATCTTTTTGGAGGTTCTGTTATACCTAAAACTTTTGATTACACTACAAAGTGTGAACAAGGATACATATATACAAAATTAGAGAGGCAAAGCCCCTCATTCACCCCGTACTATGAGTCAAGCAACTTCTCCTTTTCTGTCATTATGAGGTGCATTACATGTGTTCTGATAGAAATTAGAGATCGTACTTAGCTGGACTATAGTTTTTCATTCGTTGATGACAAGCCTTGGACAATATAAAATTAGGCTCCAAAATTTGAGGACCTCGATCAAAATCACTCATTTAACATGCTAAATAACAGCCATGATGGTAAGAAAGCATTTTTGCCTAGAAATCCAATATTTCATAAAGAAAATGACATTTTGACATGTTGTCATTCAAATCAAAGAGAAAATAGCAATTAGGTTTGCCATGACAATCAATAAAATTGATTTATTTATGTACCGTAATCAGTTTTCTTACTGACATTAATTCTAAATTTTTCTTCTTGTCGTATAGCATGGGTATACAATAAGTATCTTTATGTATGTATGTGTGTGTGTATATATATATATCACTGAAAATTTCATGTTTAGATGACATATCATACTAAGGTGGAGGTTTAAACCGAGAACACATTCATTTTACAAAAACACAAGAACACCCATGTCACATATAATAGATAGTACATCAAAACATATTAAATGCAACAATTTACTGAGTAAGCGCTTACCCGAGTAAGAGTCGTCATCCTCACTTATCGGGTAAGACTCTCCATCATTCTCATCGTTCTTATCCGATACGATTCTTGGCCCTTCTGATGTTCATCCGATAAGAAAATTTATCCGGTAAGCACTTGCCAAGTAAGTGTTTAGTAAACGCCCCTTAATGTTTTTGCACGCTTAAGTTTGGGCCCAGAAGCAGTCAGGCATGAACAAGAATTTGACTCTGGTGAACATGAGGATGGGGATTCATCGGTTAACAACTTGATGGAAATGTTGGAGAAGGTCGTGAGTGGCCCGATAAAGAGGACTGGAAAAAGCATATCGGCTTTTAAACAATATCATGATGATGTAATAGCTAGTAAGATTGTAGATTATGAGCTTTCAAAGACGATGATGGAGCCTGATGCTGATTTAGCTGATGAAACAATCGAAGGAGGATCTGAATCAATACTGCACGAGACTAGGCTCGTGGATTTCAAGCGTCGCAAGAAAGCAAACAAGAATCTTGATGATAAATCCGAAGAAAACACTGCTGGGCCAATAGAGTCCGAGAGATCCGCCGGAAACAGAGTCTCTGAACCAGATGTCGGGTCTGTGGAGACCAACTCTTCGATGTGTATGCCTTGCAAGCGTAGGAGACTGGTTCGGCCCAATTTTGTTAGAAATGAGTCAACTCGTGATGCTAAAAACTCACTGCCAACTTGTAACGAAAATCAACCTTTGAAAGATGACAGCAATCCAACAGAAGCAATTGAAAGCTTGGAGAAGGTTGAGGTATCCATCRAATCTACACGAGTGTCTACCGGATGCCAAAAAGATGTTRTTGAAGGTGAAGCAAGTTCAGAAGTCGTCGGAGATGGAAATGCAGAAAATGGTCAAGTGTCGGATGGGAACGGGAGAGAGCAATCGCAAGAGAAACGTGATGTTGATGGCATGACCCGAGTAGGTTCACCAAAAGGCGATCGAACGACATGTGGTTGGATCGAGTGGTGATCTTCTAGTCCAGAACTCAAGGTTTGCATATAGATAGATGCATATAAGAAAATGGTGGTTTTTTTGAGATGCAAAAGGGAACACTTTTTTGAAACTCTGTGTGTACCAGAAAATGTCAATATTTTTTTTGAAGATATTCAAGAAAATTTTCTATTTTGGAATCAAACTGAGAATTGAAGTTTACCTAAATGAGACATATTTCTTCTTTATACTTTGTCTTAAAGATTAAGCAGGAATCAGTTATTATAATACTCCATAAATTTCATCATCTTAATGCACTCTTTTTTAATAATAGAATTGACCATTTTACCCCTTGGATAGGATATGAAGTAAACACTGTTTGATAAATTGCTATTTACTTTTTAAGTTGAATGATAACTCTGAATCAATACTGCATGAGACCAGGCTCGTGGATTTCAAGTGTCGCAAGAAAGCAAACAGAATCTTGATGATAAATCCAAAGAAAACACTGCTGGCCCGATAGAGTCCGAGAGATCTGCTGGAAACAGAGTCTCTGAACCAGATAGAGTCCAACTCTTTGACGGGTATGCCTTGCACGTCGTTAGAGACTTATTCGGCCCGTTTTTGTTAGAAAGGAGACCACCCGGTGATGCTAAAATTTCACTGCCAACTTGTTATGAAAATACACCTTTGAAAGATGATAGCAATCCAACAGAAGCAGTTGAAAACATGGAGAAGGTTCATCAAATCCATACCAAATGTCTGCTGGATGCCAAAAAGATGATATTGAAGGAGAAGCAAGTTCAGAAATCGGAGGGGTTGTTTACTTATTTTTTCATCAAGCTTTGTGTTAAGTTGTATGTCAAGTTGTTGTTTCTTCTTTTTCCTGAATCAACATTTTCAATAATAGAAATAAACATTTTAGCCCCTCAAAATGAAATAAACACCATTTGATAAATTGTTATGTACTGTTTAAGCTGAAAGAACTCTAAAATGTCAAAAACAACTTGAAAGTGAGAATTGAAGAACACCGGATCAAGAAACAAGATCAAAAGCTCTAATCATAAGTCAATTAATCCCCGTTTTCCAACCTACCTATCGATAAGTTCATCTATCCAGGGTTTGGATTGTGACTTCTTCTTCAGATCTGCGGAGTTCTTCATATGTAGACAAGCATTACTTTGTATCCAGGATATAAAAAACGTGTACACCAGTTGAGAAAAAGGAGCATACATGCTCTCCTCTTGTCAAACAGATCTAGCGACGTTGACAAATATCACAATTACTAATGAACTCTGTGTTCACTTGAAGACAATTATCGAGTTACGTATTGTCTAAAGAAAAGATGCAAAAAGTTGCAGAGTGCAGGATCTATTCCATTATGTGCAATCAAGAGACAAGAGTTTTGCTTGATTCAAATGTGAGTGTGACTTGGACCAAAAAAGGCATGAAAAAACTGGGAAGATGGGGTAAGGCATTGATCATTGAACAGTTTAAGAAAATAATGAATGATGAAATCAATTCTGGTAACAATGTAAGAACTAAGAAACCGTGACACGAATTATGTTACAAGTAATTCTGGATGAAAGACGACTATAATGAAACCTCTGTATTTGATTTAATGAGGCTCAATGTTCGATTACACAAGCAGAGTCACAAAACTACAATAAATTGCCAAGAAAGTGGTAATTTGCGACAATTAAAAAAGATTTAAGATTAAAACTCAAATCATGCAATCAGTTAATTCATAGACCAAAAAACAGTTGCTCCAATATGCCAACATTCACTCATTTTCAAGGGGAAAAAGAGATTTCAGTAAAGAAAGATTCAATAAAATGTGTACCTCATGAAGAAATCCACTTGAAGATTTCTCTTTCTCTGTAATTAAACTGCAGAAAGTCTTACATTGCTTTGGCGGGATCATGAACCTCACAACGCTCTTTACCCTAAGTTTACAATCTAAACCAAACAAGCCCATTATATCCCGTCAGTGGGCAGGGTCTGCAGATCTGCCCATTTTCCCTAAAGGGTATAGCGACTGTACCCCACGGTTTACAGTATGTTTGACATGAAACGTAAGAAAGCTGGGCTCCCTTGGAGATGATCATACAAATCATACAAGTAAGCTCTTCACATACAAAAAGCTGATATACGATTCATTCGCGCTCTGCGGTGATGGTTCGTTCTGACAAAATAACTTACACCGTGGGAAGTTGAAGCTTGGTCCCTGTCTAACTCATTGGACTTTGAGCATATTGTGGGTGAACGGGGATCCAAATTTACAACATATCGGAGCAGCGAATACAGTGTTGGTCAATAAGTCTGGCTACTAGGCTTTCAGGTTCTGGAACTAGAGAAGATGTTAAGCTATTCCAGAAATGAAATGCTAATGACTCATTAAGGATCTTTTGATATAGAACATCTTGATCAGCTCTTTCGATATCCGTTGCTGGTGGGGTGAAATATCTATATTAAAAGTACAAGTATCAAGGCACATGTAAGATAAAGAATTAAATCATATAAGTAACATAAAATCGCACCAACTTAAGATATGCAAGGGGACCATGAGAAATCATAAGTACATAGGGATTTTGAGGACCCTAAGAAGGAGAGGTCTCATAAATGGTTACATGCTTTACAAGCTCGATTCTTGGAACTGAGGACCTCCTTTGTTCTTGTTACGAGTGGCGTGAAAGACCAACCATTATGGTGGCCTTGATGGGTCATAGGCAATTGAATGAGTTGGTCTATGTCCTGGATTGTAGATGCCATAGTTGTTCTGTTGGTAAATTTTTTGATTTCCACATCTCATAGCCAAACAACCGCTCTACCATTTGGGGTAGAGGTCAGGTTTGCGTACATCCACCCCCCAAAGATCCTACTCCAGGTGAGATTTACTGGGTCCCCTCAAATGTATTCTTGTGTAGTTCTCAACTGAAACTCATTATTCTGATGCATGATGTTATGTTTATATGCTGATCTTCTTATGTTGGCATGTCTTCAACTACAATAAGGATGTATTATATCTTCCAGGCATTTCCCGTATCACACATGACAAACAATGGTTTGTAATCTTAGTTTCTAGTAATATAAAATGTTGGTAAACTTATGCAGTTTCTTATGATCAACCTGTCGGAGTTGAGAAAGTCCCTTGAACAATATACAACGGACCATCTAAACAAACCACATGGAACAACTAAATTCATGAACCTGCCAAATCATCAACCTGCCGTACCTCCTATACGGTTCACCTATAGTAGGCGGACTAAGAAATAGGTGGGAGGGGCTGTTTTTGTTACTTTCCGTAAATAAAGGGGTATACTTTGTTATAAGCAATTAGACTAAAGGGTCGGTTGGGAAATATCTTTTTCTTAGTGCCTTTATGTGGAGCGAGAAGGGGAATTATGGGGCATTCAGATATTTTGTAAATCGGACGAGAGTCCTCTGGGAGAGATCATGGCCTCTCGAAAGCCATAGAAGCAATACAATCATACGACCATACTTACACAATTCTTTTCTGTAATTTCTGTTCATCTTGGTTTATAGCACAACCCTCCCTCATATATGTCCTACTTGGTTTCTCGTGAACCCAGGACCAACAATAAGAATTATGATAATGACATTTTGTGCTTTATATAGAATTGAATATAGACCAGCTTAACTCTCTTGTCATGTATGTGTGGTTTACTCGTTTAAGTGCTCTCAGCTATTAATCCTCTTGTTTTATACTGATAAAGATCATCCATTTTAGAAACTTATCCTAACATCTTGGATTTTGGTCAAGGATCTTCGCTCCTCGACTGGCACTACCATGGTCTTATTTGTATTCATGGCATTCTACTTGAATTTCTTCTTTTCCATAACAAGCTAGTGTTTGTGGTCTCTTGATGGAGCCAACAGTCTTGCATGCTAGTGGAAAAGTTCCATGAAGGGAGTACAGTTGTGGTGCTGCAGATCTGTGTGTTTTGGTGTTCTATGTCCTGGATCAACTGAAACTTAGGCATTATCAGACTTCCTCTAATCCATAGCGAGGGATGGATGACCGTTTGGCTGTGGTTAATTTGTTTCTCACTTTGGTATTTACTTGAGGGACACTAGGGTGTTTTTGGTTGTCAAAAACCAGACTAAACGAGCCCAGTATATCCCATTTGTGGCCTTCGGCGTGTAGCTCATTTGGCAAAGGAGCAGGGCGACTTTGCCAAATCCAAGACAGGTCATGGGTTCGATATGAGACCCCCGCTACCCTCAGCCGCTGAGTGAGCCAAAAAAAAATGCCCCCTCACATTGGTGTCATTGGAGGCAGGTATCAACTTTTGTGCAAATATCCATCCGCGGGGTCTGGGAGGGTAAGATGTACGCAGACTTGGCCTCTACCTCAAAGAGCGGGGCAGCTGTTTTTTTGGATACCCAAGCTTGTGAAAAGTGTGCGAAAGACAGAAATGCAAATAAGATAAAATTTGAAAAGCTAGATACAAGTAAACAATAATATACAAATAGGAGCAGAGTTTTTTAGTTGTTATGAAGCATATTTATCGAAGTATTTCATTCTCCAAGGAGATGGGTGTTTCATGTCAACGGGTGACTCAGATTTGGTTACCTTATGCAAGTTTTTTTTTTCAAGTATAGGGCAAGCTCCGGAGCAACCATCAAGCTTATTCCTCTGTGACTAGAAAGTTATGTGCAGGAGCCAGACAGCGCATTTGTAAAAGCGTAAGTGAAATCTTAAGGGCAAACACTTCACTCCCCAAGCCGTGCAAAGCCAAGAAGTACCGGTCACGATGGTCATCATTTTAATATGGTTTTCATCTTTGTCAAATAATTAGAAGAATGTGATGAGTGTGAGAACTGCAGTTTTCACGGCCATGATCTTGAATGTGATGCATCCTGGTGAGATCAGATGACCCCACTTTGGGATAAAGACGAGTAATAGTCCATGAAAGCAATGTGTAGCCTTATGAGTTCATGACACAAGGTGGAGACAATTTTCTACAAAGACCGTACTACATACAAGAAAAAACTTGCAGAATAATTGCTGTATTACTATACAGATGTGGGCTGCTGTAATGCTGCCTAAGGTTTCCCCAAATGTAGTTCTTAAGGTCTAGAAGTTCACTAGGTCAGGGTTTTTCTTCCACAAGGGAGGGGGTTCAAGAAGTTGATAAATGCAAGTCTTTCTTTTTCCCAGTAATATCAAATATCATACTTGTTCTTTAGATGCCAGTATGTTATTATATCTCCTCTTTCTTACCAACTAAACATTTTCAAATATACGTGTCCCCCTTAAAAATTACTAAAGTTGCTATTTCCATATGTGGGATTTAATCAAATAGCAAATGATGATACATAGGTGAGCATGATGTGCAGCATAGAAAAGCATAAACATATATTCAGAAGTAGCAACACAAACATATACAATTGATTTTCACCGATAAGAATACAAAAAAGGAATACAAGTGCAAGTTGTTTATACCTTATGATGTTTGTATGACTTATAGGGAAGAAAGCAAAAAAGGGTTGAAGTTTCAGCTCCATCTGATTCTTTTCTTCATGCAGAAAGTTTCTTCCTACTCTAGTCAAAAGATCAGCTCCATTCCACCTTAAGCTGGTATCATCATAACTTGCATAAAACTCCGTCAAGCACTCCATTATGAATGGACTGTATACATGGTCAAATTAGTATCGAGTATAAAAAACAACAAAGTGTTAAGACACTACAAACATTCAGGCAATTTTGCTACTTATTACCGTGCTTCAAGTCTTCGTAACTAATAAATCAGAAAGGTGAAGAATAAGCAAGCAATTGTACATCATCCTCTAAAAAATAACAATCAGCTTTCTTGAGAGAGAGAAGTATTTGATAACCATACTCGATACAAGTAGACATGAACTCTTTGAAGTTTCTTTTTCTAAAACAGTATCTATGTTGGTCAATGTACTCTTGGGCTTGATTGCAAACAGGCTGAAACACTAAACCGGAAAGTGGAAAGAAATAACACAACAGAAAATGACCAACAAATTCAAACAATTGATGCAGAAAATGTCAAAAGAAAAGATTGACTAACAACTGACAAGCAGATGCTGTTAAACTACCTGTGTTTTCTAAATGCCATCACGGCTCCATTTAAGTGACTTCCAGATAATTCATCCTCCAGACCCACCGTATTAGATAAAGAATGAAGTGGTCTCACAACTTTAACATCAGAATCAAGATAGATCCCACCATATCTGATGACAACAAAGATAATGCATTAATCAGTAGTAGAAGTAAAAAAAAAAAATCAGATATGCAGGTAAATATGTCGGCCTTGTACAGACATCAACCTGAACCGAACAAAATAGGCTCACCAGACTACCTGAGGTGTGTCTGGACATTAGTTCTATCCAATTAACTATTTAACAGAGGGGGCTTGAATACACCACCCAGCTCAATTCAACTCATTAAACTAGCTTACTCCAATCGATTCAACTTGACTGAACTTGATTAAAAAATAGCAGCAGCAGCAGCTTTTGTAAAACATGAAACCCTATAGAAATTATAGAGAGATGAAGCCCAATAGAAATGGTAAATAGGTGAATCCCCTAGGGTTGTGGACATGAGTAGCATCCTTCCAAAAACACCAACTGAGTAAAACACCTTTGATATCTGACCTCTACCTTTCCATGTGACCTAATCTAGGTACAGATCTCCTCTTCCAAATGGTGCACTCAAAGGTCAATGCAGGAGGGGCGTTATTGGTGGCTTTCTGCTTTCCTCCTACTTACATTGCTAATATTTGGTTCCTAACCAAAGCAGATTTAGAAGGAGATAAAAATTTCCCCCAAAGACGATTTCTACCACTCTTCTCTATTTGGCATGATGCGGGGATTTAATTTGAGCTTTAGTTCAACTTCATATTGATCTTGAGGCCAATCCAGGAACAGTTTCCAGTCTTAAGACTCAAGCTCATAGTTTCAATTACTTTTTCCAACTACAGCTCCAGCGAGCACTGTTGGCTTGACTCAGCTCAGATACAGCCCTACTTTCCATTACATGTAAATAGAGTCACAATCCCCAAAATCAAATTAGATTGACTTGAATTTTTAATCAACTGAAAAGCATTATCAGTGGTTATCAAGATCTGTTGTCTCTTTGAAGACGTGCATGAGTTGGATTATTGTTCCAAAAGAGAACGACAGATCTATCATGCAAACACTTACTTTGTTACTCTGTGTAAACTTTCTCACTATTTCCGCCATAGTTACAGACTATCATCCCAGTTTCTTTTTACGCTTTTTTTTGTTTTGTTTGTGGTGGGCAAGAGCGATAAGGAACTTTTGAACTATCAAATCAAAGAGAACATGGAACACTAAAAGAAGCACTCAGAAGTATAATACCGAATTCCTATACTGACAAACCTTAAAATCAATTTTCATTTAGAGCCATCAAATTCGCTTACTTGTAAAGAGCAGCTAGGCGGATAAGCTCACTATAGTGAGTAGGATAAAATTTTGTCTTTCTCCACTCAAACCAGACAGAAGCAAATTCATGGGTTGGTGTATCTTTCAGTAACTCGTCCAAATTTGGCATGGCAACAGCAACTTTGAAACTACAGAACAAGTTAGAATTGCACATGTCAGCTTCTTCATGTATATAAAATAGATGTCCATTAATCACAAACAAGAGCACAGTAACTTGCACTATAATTGCTCAGCATGACCCGATAAAATTTGCGTTTCTTTTATATGGTGAACAGAAAGCAACCATACCAATTAGCACTAATCGTACTCAGAAACATACTTTAAGGGGGGAGGGGGGGGAGGGTTGTCCATGGACTGAGAACTAACACATCTTTTACAAAACCATTGAATGATAAAGCTGTATTCTCTATTTGTCACAAGCTAGAACATGCTAAGTCACAAACAGAATGACCAGATTTAAATCTAATTTCTTTGATATGATGAACAGAAAGCAACTATACCAATGTGTATAAATGTACCATCGAACTCACAAATATACTGTAAAGGGTGAGAAATTACCCGTCTTTTACTAAACCATCAAAGAAATTGAGCTCTAATGTTTCGGAAAACATCACAACACAGGCATCTGGATGGTGGAAGAGCAGGCTTTCAAGGCTACGTTGGTGTCGAACAGTAAACATCCATGGTGGAGAATTCCACACCATGAAGACTCTCATCAAACACTTGCCTTTCCTAAAGAATGCATCCATGAAGTTGGAGAAAGATAAGCGAGGATACAAACCAGGGAAGTAACCCCATCTCTTCCCATCAGCATAAATTTGACCAGAAAACTCGGATTTTATTCCGCCATTGCCATGTGTAGCTTTTAAATTACTACTTTTGTCCATGACCTGGTGAATTCTCTCAGCTCTGTTATTGACATTGTCGTCCAAAGTTCTTCGCTCTGCTATCTTCATTTCACTCTTGCTATCTTCATGGACATTCTCAACCTTCAAATTCGTTCCTTCCCCATCTTCTAGTGATCTGTTCTTTCCCTTGGATTCTGATTCTGGATTGTGAGCTGAGACACCTAGAGGCTTTTTACTGGTGAAAGGTACCTTCTTGAATTCATTAATGATACGTTTTAGAACCAATCTATCACCCTTGGTGAATCCTGTAACTCCAGCCCCATCAGGGTCTTGTAAAAATGGATTGTTCAAAGGGTTCAGCAATTCCAGATTTGATTTAAACATCCGATCCCGCCTTAAGAAATCGCTCTTCCTTTCAAACCAATCTCCCCAACCTTCCCTTAACGGAGAAACCTTATTCCCCGCTTTCAACAGTAGTGCATCCTCGATCCCCTTCACTTCCGCCACTTTCCTCCTCACGTTATCATCCAATGGAACATCATCTGAACTAAATGCCAGATTAATGCTGGTTGTAGTACCATCCCAATTCGAATCAAAACTTGCATAATCCTCCCACTGATCGATGGACCGCTTGTCGAAAGCCCGTCGAATCACGCCTTGTACGTGATCGAAGTAGTATTTTGAAACCCTAGACTGATCAGTTTCGTCTTCGTCTCCGTCCTCCTCGTCTTGAACCCTAGAATCTCGATCTTCCTGTACGGCATCGTCTAGCTCGTCGATCCGGTCTTCGGAGGAGTTCCTGTCATCAGGATCGGCTTCTTCAACGAGAGGATCGAAAGTGAGTTCGTCGGTTTGATGGTGTCGTGGGCGGTGGGAATGGCGATCAGAGCTGAGGCGGCTGTAGAGGATAGAGACGGAGAGTAGTAAGAGCAGGGCAGCGATCAAGGCGCAAACATGCGTACCGTAGGTCGGTCGCCGCCGTGAACGGAGTTTTCTCAACATCGTTTTAAGACGGCAGTAGACCCTGACATTGTCCGATTTTCATTTAATCCCATGCATGTGTCTTGTATATGTACATTAACTAAAGGCAAAATACATAATAAAAAAAATTCAATATACTTTAATTAAAAAAATTACTATATAATTATATTTTCAATTTTTCTTATTACAACAATATACTTTCAAATTATTTTTTATTAAGATATTGTACTTTAAAAAATTTATTCATTATAACATTGAATAAATTTTGATTTAAATTTACTCATTATATCAGGTTTCTATGACATCTCATTATCCACATAAATTGTTCACGTGTATTATAGTGATGTGACTTTCTTATTACATCACTGTACTTTCAAAATTATTTTATTATAACATCTACTAGTTCTTATTAAACAATGTATTTTTAATTTTAATATTTAGATATTTTACATTTATTTAATAAATATATTTAAAAAAATTAAAAAATTCTAAATTATTCATTAATATACCAATATTAATAAAACTAGCAGAAGATAACTTATTTCGTTAATATATTTTTTTTTTAAATATGTGTTTCTTGAAAAAAGAAATAAGCATTGTTTCTTTTTTACCAAAAAAATATTATTTTTTAAAGAATATATTATATTTATTTAAAATATTTTACTTAACGCATAAATATATTAAATTAATTACATTCTTTAAATTATTATTAATATAACAATATTAAAAAATTATAGATCACAATTTATTTTGTTTTTTTAACAACATAAAATAAGAAGTGTTACTTTTTTTACAAACAAAATATATTTCGAAAATAATGTATCATATTTATTTAAGAAATATTTTACTCTAGAATATTTAATTTGCATGCAACTTAATAAGAAAAAATCAAAAAAGTTAAATGTTTATTTAAATCATAGCAATGAAAAATGAAAATCACTAATAATAAAATGAAATACAATTTTATTTTTATTTTAGTTAAATCATCAAAATGATGTGTCATTCACATCACCTCATTAAAGCCACACAAACAAAAAAAATCAATGAAGTGTTAATAGCACACAATATATGGCTAATTTGCAATATCGAACTTATATCGAACATGTTTAATTTGAAATACTGTTTGCATGTTTGCCTAATCAATTGTTGCATGCAGATAAATATTATCTTTGTGATGATGCATATTCCAACGCTCATGGATTTTTAGCTTCGTATTGTAACACGAGATATTCATTAGCAGATTATCGACGTAGACGTGCTTTAACTAAAGAAGAAAAGTTCAATCATGTGCATGCACAACTTCGAAATGTCATTGAATGTGCTTATAGTGTCTTGAATGCTAGATTCTCAATGTTGAAGCAAATGGCTTCTTTTCCATTTACAAAACAAATAAATGTGGTCATTGTTTGCTTCACGATATACAACTTTATAAAAAATGTAATATTCAAGATCAACTTTTCATTGAGTACAACGAAGACATCATTTTCATCAATGAAGAAGAAAATGTTGGAAGTGGAGAAGCAGAACTAAATGGATCACAATGGGATGTTAATAGCACACAATATATGGCTAATTTGCATAATCAAAATGCAAATAGACTAGTTTTAAATGTTTGATATTTTAAATTGTATCCTAACTATGATGTTGACTTGTTTTTATTATAAGGACTAATTAATGTTGTTTTAATTATAACTTTTAACTCAAATAATTATGTTAATCAAGTTTTTTTTTTTTTTTAAAGCTTCTAAATTGATATTTTTTTATAATTATAAGTCATTTATTCAACATTTTCATTAAACTGTTGTTTTATTTAGACAAAATTAAAGACTGGAGGTAAGATGGTCATTTGTGACATTCAGACTGTTTACTCAGCACAACAACCGAACAACAACTTATTTGTTAATATACAGACAACTATATCAATACAAACAACTATATCCATACAGGTCTTAACCGAAAATGAACCGAACAACCCCTAAGTCTAATGTGTGTCAAAGTTCCAACATCAAGTGATTCAAAAAAAAAAAAAAACACATCGAACACAAAAATTCAAATTTCAAAGAATGAAATAAGTCAAAGAACACCAAAGAAACTAAACATTGTTTAGTTATTCTTCATCACTATTAATATTCTACAATACATCATCTAGATCATCTACATTAACTGTTGGAAGAGAATCCTCATGGTCAGTGACAGAACTTGAACTTTCAATTCTGATATTCATCATTTTTGCATTTATAAGAACAAATTAAAATAACTATATAAATATACAAATTCAAGTATATGCTAACATAAGTTGAAAAAAAATACTATAATTAATGTCGTACTTTTCTCAAACTTTTCAATATCATGTTATCATGTATGTTTTCTTCCACTGCAATTGGCTGACTAGGACCTCTTAGCCAGTCTTGTGTATATATAAGGGCTTCTACCATCTTACCCCCGTAGACTCACCACCCCACCCACCTCCTAATTTCCGACACACATCCTGTCCAGACGTAGAGGTAGGGTCTGGACCCTAATAGGAGTAAAATGTAGGCAGACCTTACCGATAGTGTTTCAAAGAAGACAACCATGGAAATGTGAAGTAGTTGAGTCCGACAGAAGTCAGCAAAGTTGCAAGCCGTTGTGGTAATTGAGGGGCAGCATGTTGTAAGTTGTGCTGATTGCAATCTTGATCACTGTTGGAGCTGCAAATGAGAAAGATTGCACTATGATTGTGGCTTTTGAATTTATTATTCTTTAAATTTGTTTTGGGTAGTGGCTTTTCATTGTCAATGAAGCAAGGCAACTTTGACCGATAATTACCATTTTTCTGATGGAAGCATTCCCCATGGTGCTAAAAACCATAAGCAGTTTGTTTACATACTATGCTAAAGTAAGCATTGATTGGTATAATAGGCAGAAGGCTCACCGAAGATCATAAGATTTCCATTGGCACTCCAGAAAGTGAAACATATCAGGAAGTTGAACATTGTAGGTCACCTTGGAGTCTGGAGTTGTGCCAGTAACTCACTGCATTTGATGCCAACTTCTGAAGTTTCTTGAGAGAATTTTGGTAAAAGCTCCATAAGATTGATATCATCAGTAGTAAGACAGAGACAGGTCAAGATAGTAGAAGTTAATTTTGAGTCAAGTACAATCCCCTTTGCAGCCATTTCACGAAGTAACTTAAAAATCTTATCCGTTTCACCCTTTTCACACAAAGCTTTTAACAAAGAATCATATACGTATTTATCTGGCGTGAAGCCCCAAGTAACCATCATATTCAACATTCTCCATGCCTCCTCCAGATCACCTAGTTTAGAATACCTGTTTATCAATATGGAGAAAGTGTATGCATCAGGATCCACGCCCATTTCGCGCATCATCAAGAGTAATTTGTTTGTATACTCTGTGTTCCTTGCTTTGAACGATGAATCAATCATGATATTAAATGAAGTGACATCTGGCTTACAGTGCTTGTTTCCCATTTCTTGAAACAACATTGTTGCTTGTTCCAAACTACCCTCTGTGCACAATGCCGACATTAATGCATTGAAGTCACACACATCGGGTGCAAGACCATGGTTTCTTCTCATTCGAATAAAAATCCCTTTTGCAATGTTAATCATACCTAATTTGCAGGATCCTTTAATGATGAGACTGAAGGTGTATGAGTTTGGACTGAATCCCAGTTGGAGCATTTGCTTCCATATCCCCATAGCCTTTTCAACTTCCCCACCCCTCAAATAGGCATCTATAAGTGAATTATAAGTTACCACATTACCAGAAATTTTAACCGTACGCATCTTCTGATAAATCTCTGCTGCCTCACTAATACGGTTTTCTTTGCAGAGGCCTTGGATAAGCAGATTATGTGTCATAACATTTGGTTTAACATCATTCTTGTCAATCAACATGTCATAGAGTCTCAATGCAACATCAACCTTCCTTTGATCACATAGTTCTTTAACTAACTTATTGAAAAATTCAGTGGTAGGCTGCTTTTCCTTCTCCATCATCATCTTCAATAATTTAAAACAATCAACCAGCAACCCCTCATTGCATAACCCAACAATCAAATGCATGTATGTAATGTTGCTGGGCTCTTGACCGCTTTCTATCATCAAATTAAGTATATCAAAAGCTTTCTTAGCCTTCCCATTATGACAAAGCCCGTTGATTAGACATGTATAAGTAACAACATCTGGTAGAATCTTCTTTCCCATCATAGCAGTTAAGATGCTCATAGCTTCTTTGAACTTTCCCTCCTTAGAAAGACCATAAACCAAAGAATTATATATGCCTATGGGCGGGAAAATCCGTTTACTCGTCATATCATCAAAAACCTCTTTCCCCTTGCCAATCTCTCCATTCCGGCAAAGATGATCTATCAAAATATTGTAAGTAACAAAATTGGGAGCACAACCTGCCTCCTCCATTTCACCAGTCAACGCTAACGCCTCATCATATTTACAAGTCTTGCAAAGCCCTTTAACAAGGGTATTAAGAGTACACTCATCAGGAGCAACCCCATACCTAGAAACCTCACGAAAAAGCCCCACTGCATCACCAACCTTGTTCTTGCAACACAGACTATTCAACACAAGATTAACAAGGTACACATTCACACTAAAACCACTTTTTAGAATCAAACCCAAAACTGAAATAGCATATTCAGGGTACTGAAAACGCACCAAACTCTCGATTACAGCACCATATGAAAGAAACCAAGGCCCTACCCCAATTCTACTCATTCTGTTGTAAACTTGCAACACTAAGTTGTGCTTCTTGTTTCTACCTAGGGTTTCCACGATGAAATTGCATGTGGGAGAAGAAGGAATCAGGCCCAAATCAGCCGACCGTTCAAAAAGAGTTACAGCATCTACATATTGGGGATTGGGATTTTCTAGAAGCTGTCTTAATTGGGAATCTAAATCTTCCGTCACAGCATTATCTGAATAATACACGCCTATAGAATCAGTTAACGATGATGTTGAAGAAAAGAGCTTATTAAGAGTACTATGTTGGCGGCTAAATGGATATTCGAAGAACGGTTTTATAATACTTCGAATCATGATTTGAATATGTGACTACTGGTCATATACGTCGGCGTGCGTTGCATTAGGGTTTGAAGATTATGAAAAATAAGCAGGAAATCAACAGTAATGATGATGACGTAACGACGCCGACGGCGGCCTATTACCTGTCGAATGATGCCGGACGGATATCGTCGCCGACGTACAGCTCAAGATTTCAGGAGGGAGCGTATCGTTTTTCACTCGGGACTATTCCCTTTTCGGTAGCTTAGGCCCCAGTGGAGTGAATTTCATAAATGTTCCATCAACTATATATTAATATGGGTTGGGCTAATGGCACCCTAAGGTTCCCTAACTCTATCCCATCATTTTATTTTATTTTTGTTTTTTGTTTTCTTTTGTCTTTGTGTTGTTTTTATTTTTTATTTTTTTTTCCTATTTAAATTATTAATTAATTTTATTATTTTTTTATTTTTTTGTTTTCTTATTTAAATTATTAATAAGTTAGATTATGAATTATTAATAAACATATATATATATATATTATTAATTATTAATAAATATATATTTCTTTTATATATTTATA